AAGATAGGCAGCTGCTGTATCTTGTACAGAAAGTACCTTTCTACAATTTGTGCTCTTTATTTGGAGGACAGAAGGAATTTTTAGGTCAAGGCAGACCACTGCAGTAAAACTTGATAGTGTTGTCCAAAAATTCAGTGCCAATTCAGTCCACCATACAAGTATGAAATCACCTGCTGCAATGCTTCTGAAATAAGATTTTTACTGTTACTTCCCACCTCACAAATACCCTAGATGTCACCAGAGAGATCAGACATCTCTGCTATCAATAGTGATGTTCTCTCATCAGAAGCATCAGGTATTTATTGTGGCCCAGGTGCACCTCAGCAAGTATCTCAGAGAAGCATTTCAGTCATACAAGTCTAGGGCTTGGGGAAAGAGCAAAATCCTGGATTTTATCTTGGTGCTGAGATAGCAAATTTGTCTCAGGTACATTCAAGGTTTCAAACCCTGTCAAGGATCTTTTCTTAGATCTAAAAAAGATTTTTATCACTGGTTTAATTCCTTATAGAAAATTTGCTAGTCACTGACATGAAAAGAGAAGAATAAAATCCTATGTTGGTGCCCAGTATCAGCAGTAAATACTTCTGAATACCAAAGCTTAGGTGAAAAAGGAGAAGGACTGCAAAAACAGCATAAATATCTCAAATTCTGACTGACAGGTCAAGCTACCTTTTCAGATACAAGAGCTGGCAGTGTATCAGGAAGGTGCGATCATCCTTATCAACTTTGAGTGAGATGTCCAAAACAAAGATTTCCATCTGTGTAGGCCTTTAATATTATTTGGTGTAGATAATGTATCTTGACATAACAGCTTTGATTAGCTTTGATTTTTTAAAAGTTTATATACATTACACAAATACATATATTGATGTATACACTAAGATCTATCAGATTCTCTCCAACTCCAGATGCACAGTCAGATCTTTCAGGGACTGAAAATACTCTCCAGGGCAGTTCCAAGAAGGGGCAGCTCACAAACAATTAGCAGAAAGCATGAACATTTCTGTAGCTGGGATGATGCTAATACATCCAGGTTGAGAGCAAGACAGACAAAACACTCTTATTTTTTATCTAGAGAGCTGCTGATCAGAGAGGTCTAATTCAGGCCCAGAGCAAGAAGTGAAAATACAGCCTTGTGGAGAAGGTTTACATATTGCATTGCAGTGTCAATACCTACAAAACAGGTTCAGCAAGATTTGACCCAGTCCTTAATCTGCTAAGGCTTTGTTCATATCCATGCACAGGATGGTTCCTTGCTGGGTGCTTGTGTCACACTCACCTAACCAGGACAAAAACTTTTCCAAAGAAATAATAAATAAGATTCTCCAGAGACGGAGCACAGAGAAAACACTACTCAAGATTAACATCTCTTAATTTAGCAGCCACTGTTTACATAAAGAGATAACACGATGATAGTAAAAGATAATCAAGATATGCAAATTTTTCCAGCTTGAGTGAACTGTACATACATGGAACCAGAAAGTAAGATTTAGATAAGGAATATGTAAGAAAGTAAAACTTGTGGCCTAATGGTCCAAGAACAAAAGGCTGGTCAATTACTACCTAGACAGATGTAATCAGCAGCACACAGAAATAGCAAAATGCTTTTCCATACCTGTAGTGGCTTCCAATTCTTCCTGAAATGATTTGTCCTTCTGATATTTTTGGTCAAATCAAGGGCTTATAGTCTTTCCAGCATGCACTGATTACTGTTTGTACAAAAGACTGTGCTAAGTGCAGTCTCTGATTAATGAAGTGGACTGACAATAATTTCTGATATATTTAGAACAAGTCTAAGGTGCATTTTCTTCATTGTAAATGACATCTCCTCACAGCAAAAAAGAAATAACATTTTGTTTAGATACCAGGAAAGTATTCTAATTTCTCTCTTATTCACTTGTGAGTGTATATATGTGTCTGTTGTTCCACTATGTTAATTTAAAGTACTTCAAAACCATGTTTCCCATGTTAATTGCAAACCCTAATGAATAAAAATACTAGACAACAATTTTAACTCAGAGTTCACGATTTCTTAAACCTAGAGTCTATGGCTTATTCTGAAAACAAGTTCTTGTACAAAGCAGGTTAATGAGATTTAAATAATTTGTTTTCAACTCATATGAACTAGGAACTAGCTACATAGTGAGGGGGAACAAAAAGATTTTGAAGTACTAAAGAATAATGAATCATACCTATTTATTAGTCATCCTAATGAATACCTGCAAATTATTCTGCCATAAAGTGATTTTAACAAATTGGAGAACACAGACGTATGTCAGTAACTAGGACAATTGAATAGTTTACTGTCAAGCAATTCTAGTAATTATTTAAATTGGTGATTAGTTGTCACATCAGCTGAGATATTTCAGAGTTTCTTGAACTTCCAGTACAGAAATTTACTGTGTACAATTTTGTTACTGAGAAATATCCATACAGTAAATGAATGTGCATATCTCTTTATTTAGCAACCATAATGCATCTCTATTTACTAGCTCCTCTGTTTACACTGTTGATGCTGTTTGCAGAAGGCCATTAGCCTTCTAATTTGTTTTCTAGCAAAAAATGAAATTACAAGAAATGAGTGAGATTGAACTACTAAAAAACAGCAGTATTAGAAGAGTTTTGCAGTGTGCTTAGCACAGAGATTACAGTCCACAACTATGGCTCCCAGCAATGCTTCTTAACCACTGTAAATTTGATTTTTCAAATAAAGATAGCAAGAAAAATACAAAAATCCTTTTAAAATGCTATTTTTCCTATAATTTTTTTCTAAAACCACTTTTGTAGCCTTGTGCTCCTTTTTTTGTTGTTGCTACAAGCTATAGACAAGGCACAGATAGTAATTTTAAGCTTATTAGCAAAATTACATAACCTCACCCTATGACCATTTCTTGCTGTACTTAAACTGCACACATGTTTGAGCAGAGGCCATACATTTTTTTAGAAACTTTTGGCATAATTTTTAAAATAAGCATAGTTGGTCAAAGCTCTAATGTATTTTTAAATAAGCCTTTATTATTGCACCTGTTAATGACAGCAATAGTGTAATGCATTTCAGACTGGGATGTGCCACAGATAAGAGGGGACAGACAAGGCTATTTTAAAAGACACAGCCCTTCTTTTTATCTAAGGAGAAACAGAAGTCTACCAGAGGAGTATGCCTTCCTTCAAACAGCCAGAGAAAATGCTTATTAAACCTACAGTTTTCCTCTTCTAGAAGGAAACTGAAATATACAGAATAACTGAGAAAAAGCACAGCATAATTCAGGATGAAGTATTTAATGCACCATATTAATCATGTAGAGAGTTCCCTGTAGCAATAGCAAAGCAAACTGTAAGATATTGAGCTTAAGAAAATAAAAACATTATCCAAGAATAAAGAAGGAAAGATAATAAATTAGATGGAGTAAAGAAAAAGAAACGCAAATCTAGTAAGTGGTTACAAGAGAACAAAAATATAAACTTTGGTTCTTCAGATGTTCCCATACATTCCTGACTAGCAGTGCCCAAAACAGGTGCCTGAATAAGCACACAGAACTGCTCTCAAAGTGAAATAAAGAAGTAAAACACAGAGGGTAACTGCTGTGTAACCACACAACTCTCCATGGGCACAAGAGCAGCAGCTCCCCTGTTGAAATGTTCAGTTCACTGGTGGTCACCTCTGTAGAAACACTCCCAAGGTGAGAGTGTTCCACAGCACCTCAAAGGAAGGAAGTTCCCAGCTCTGGAAAACCCAGGTACAGCAATATGCCTTGTCTAAGGCAACACAAGATGAGGGGACATTTCACTCCTATTCCAAATTTTGCAGAAGACAGAGAATCCAATGATAACAGACAGACCTCATAGTTCAGACTTCCTTAAGCAAAACAAAAGAAACTTCAGTTTTAAACCTTGAAAATAAGCCACATTCACAGGCAATAAAATTTCTCCAACTAATACAGTGAAGAAAAACAAAGCATTCCAGTAATTCAGAAAGAATTCTGTTCCCTGATACTCTCAACCAAGAAATGTTTTAAAAGCATTTTTTTTCCCAGAAAAACTGTATCTGTCCAGACAGATAGTTTTTGACTGGCTATCAAGAAAAAGAAAATAGAGCAATTTGCATTAGAAAATACTGAGAAACAATTCTCAGATAAAAGCAAAATGTTTACAAACTTTTCAATGAAAGTTTTAAAATATGTTGATAACAGAAGTATTAAAATGACTGATTTTCTGCTGATTCATCCCTGAATGGACACCAGCTCACTAAATTAAAACCATTTCCAGTTATAATTGGGGATTTGAATTTTCATCTGTGGGACTTATAAAACACTGTTTCAGCAGAGCACTGCAGTTAGATGGATGAAGGTCAAACAAATTTCCCACTGTCCAAGTCAGACTTCTGAGAAAAGCATAGAGAACAAAATAGGTACATGCAATTCCCAGCATCTAACAGAATTATTTCTGAAAGTACTCTATCATTTTCCTAAATTTGATTTCCACTAAATCAGCGCCAAAGTGAACAAACAGTCCAACTGAACACTGAATTAATCCATTAGAAAGGTCTGGGCTTCAAACATCCACATTGTCCAGAAAATTAATTCAACAACAATCTGTGCCTCACATCTCCAACTGCAGCACTCGTTTGACAGAGGACTAAGCAGCAGCACAAAGAAAATGGAAGGAATTCTCCCCTACAGAATTCTCCCCTACAACAGAGTTCCTTTGCCATTATTCTTATGTTGAAGGAATAACACCTCTTTGCCAATAAATATAAACATAAGATTTGCAAAATAACCACTTCACTGAATTCATGTCCACCATTCCCCTGATAAACAGAAAAAGCTGGGCTCTTCAGGACAGTATCTCAGAAACTCAAGACTGACACTTTCCTTTTATTGGAAGGAGAGTCATCTGTCTGCATCTTGAAGAAAAAGCAGATCCTCATCAATTCCTGAAAGGAGTGTTACTTGTGATTAAAGGCAGGTTAGAAATTGTATTAAAAATGTAAGCGATTTTACCTCTCCTATAAAGACAACCATAACACAATCCAGTTTTTCTTCAGGGGACAGCTTATCAATAAGGGAGTGGAGAGTTTCTGTAAGGTAAGACTTGACTTTTCTTTTCACTGTAGGTATTCCCATTACAATGGAAACTGAAATCAAACAAACCAGAAAGGTACTTTCAGTGATTGCATACACAAGATAAAAAAAAAAAAAAATCTTGCAATAAGGCATTGCTTAATAAATGCAAAGGTTTAAGAGGTGGAGATTGCAGTAATTAAAAATAGTTTAAAATATGCCACCCAGCATCAGCAGCATGACTAATAGTTAACACCAGTTCTCAGAACAAACACAGAAGACAAAAACTCCCAATCCTAGACATGCCAGACTATTGTGTAGGTGTGATGGGCTGATCCTGACTGGACACCAGGTTCCCACCAAAGATCTTCTATTGCTCACCTCCTCAGCTGGACAGGGAGGAGAAAATGCAACGAAAGGCTCATGGGTAGAAATAAGGGCAGGGAGAGACCCCTCCTTGCTGTCACAGTCAAAGCAGACTTGAGGAAGTTAATTTATTACTGAGAAAATGAACAGAGGGTAATGAGAAATAAACCCAAATCTAAAAACATCTTTTCCTCATCCTTCCCTTCTTCCTGGGCTCAATTTCACACCTGATTTCTCTACCTCCTCCCTCCCAGGAGCACAGGGGCATGGGGAATGGAGGCTGGAATTCAGTTCATCATACATGACCTCCACCACTTTCTTCTTCTCTGTAGAAGGACTCCTCAGACTCTTCCCCTGATCCAGCATGGGGTCCCTGCTATGGCAGATGGTCCTCCATGAACATCTCCATCCAATCTAAGTTCTTTCCCCAGGCTGCAGTTCTTCATAAACTGCTCCAGCATGGGTCCCTTCCATGGGTTGCAGTCCTTCAGGAACAGGCTCCTCCACTGTGGGTCCTCCACAGGGTTACAAGTCCTGCCAGTAAGCCTGCTCCAGCACAGCTCCTCTCTCCATGGACCCACAGGTCCTGCCAAGGAGCCTGCTCCTGTGTGGGCTTCCCAGGGGCTCACAGCCTCCTTTGGGCATCCTCCTGCTGTGACATGGGGTTCTCCAGAGGCTGCAGGTGGATCTCTGCTCCATGGGCTGCAGAGACACAGCTGCCTCTCCATGCTCTTCACCACAGGCTGCAGGGGACTCAGCCTTGCAGCACCTCCTCCCCTCCTTCTACACTGACCTTGCATGTTCTCACTCCTCTCTCCAGCTGCAATTGCCCTTGAGCAGTTTTTCCCCCCTCTTCAATCTGTTATTCCAGTGGTGCTGGTCTGGCTATTGGTTCCACTGGAGACAGGGAAATCTGCTGGCCTCTCTTAGAGAAGTACCCCCGGAGCCTCCCTGTTACCAAATGTTGTCACACAAACCCCAGTGCAATGGGAAATTATCAATAACCACGGTATTATTCAGACAAGGTGCACCAAGAGTGATTAAACTCCCTAACTGAAGTTTAAAAATAAAACTAATATAACCATTCTTCAGAACTCAAGAACTTCTGAGATGACTTCTCAGAAGTCATCTTTTAAAATAATACTGTTGAAAGCCTCTATTAATTTTCTTGCACCTGGTTTTGGTTCTTCTAAATAAACAAGTCCAGGACAACGGAACTGCATGGAAGTTTCTCAACAAAGTTCCTTTTCTCTGATAAAAGCACCACAAATACAAAGCAATACATCCCTAGCTACAAAGTTATTAACATCATCCTTCAGCAAGCCATTTGAGTCCTGTGTTGCTTAATTTTTCCATAGTTTTCCTTCTGCACTGTACCTAGGCTGGTTACCTTCTGGAACACTGCAGATAGCAGCAGGAATGCAGTGAAATGATAAAGCAGACTTCATCAAGTCCTAAAACTCTGAATATCCTCCCTCTGTTTAATTAAATAAATCTGATTCCAATTCCTATTTCTCAATTCCAAATTTCTGCCATATATTTCCTGGGGACATAATACAGACTTCACTTAAAACAATGACGAATGATTAGATTTTTCCTCCCTGAACAACAACATTGAAATAAAAGGTATTTATAGTCAGAAAAATAAACCTGTGGCCTGAGCCCACACATCTGTCATACAGGCATACCTTCTGTTAAAAGAAGGAGCAATCAAACTCACTGAAGTAATGAAAAAATACAAGCCAGGATTAACTACAACACTGTCCAGATTTTATTGATGCAATTATATCTGGTTATCTTACCTCTCTCAACTTTTAATTTATATATTGAAATATACTGTTCAGAACAAGAGAAACATCAATGCTAAAATAATTACAACCATGCATGGTTGCCCTACAAATCTGAAAAGCCAGATTCTGTACTGCTTGAGCTTTGTTTCCCTTTAGCTACAGAAAAATTCATCCAAACTAAATGCTTCTTAATGTGTGCCTTAACATGGCATGGGGTGTGACTGAGATTATGCAGAAAAGAGCAAAGCTGAAACCAAGCTCCTTTCATCTCAGATTCAGTGTGAATTTAAAGGATTTCAATATCACACAAGTTAAATGAGATGTCCTTCATCTACCAAGAAATGCAGTAAATTCTTTTCCTAAAACTAGAAGGTCCTCCAGATATAAAACATGAAATAACCACCATATCAGCATACCTCCTGTCCTTCCAAGGCCAACCTGCACAGAAGGTTGAAGGCTTCCTTCATTTTTCAACAAATGAGGCAAATGGTAATAGATATTTGGCACTTGAAGAGATTTTTTACTTGTTAGCTCTTTTAACAGCTTCAGCGTCTCATCTGCAAACATACATGAAATCAGAAATGCAGAAAACAAATTATATGAAATTTTAAGCAATAGTAAACAGTGTAAAATCCCAAGCTTGGTCCTAACTGAAAGCCAGAATAAATTATGCACTCTTCTGAGTCATCATATTTTGTCTGCAAAGAAGTCTTTTCTTATTTTGATTTTTTTAATAAAAAATGGCCAAGACTAATTTGCACCTATCATCTTGTTACAGATAAAGTTAATACTTATTTGATCACATAAGACTTAATGTGAATTTACAGAAGTAAATAATGCTCCATTTATTTGGGGGGTTGCTGATTTTGTTGGGTTTTTTCCCCAATTAATCAAATGGGAGGCTTATTTCCCAAAATAATTTTTCAGTTTTGCTTACAGAAGTCATCACCATCCAGCAAACACTACTGCAAATAACTTTTCAGAGCTATGAATACATATTGGAATATCCTGCACATAGAGATACAAAATAAAATAGCATTAAACATACAGTTGATATTTTGAGTATTCCTGAAAAAAAAAAAGATTAACACAAACTTAATTTAGTCCATTAGCACAGAATGATCCTATTAGATTCCATTAGAATCATTCTTGCTCTTTCTACTGCAACTGCCTTTCAGTATGTCCAGGTGGCTCTCAAAGTTGCAAATAACAGTTTTTAAAATTACCCTGCTGGGTGTGTTGATTTTCTTGCATCAAGTGTGAAAACAACTCATTTCAAATGAAAAATATGATAGCATATGGATCTTCAAAAACTTATGGGCTTTATAATATCAAGTTAAGCAAAAAACTGTAGTCAAGATTTCTTGAGAAAAAATTGAGAAGCAAGAAAAAGAAAGCCGTAAGTGTAATTCCTCTCAGAGTCTTAGCACAGCTTCTACAAAGAGAGATGGGATTTGTTTTGGATTTTGGTTCTGTATGTTTGGGGATTTTTAAAGCATTTATTTTTAGGTGAAACTAAATTCCTAACCACGTCAAACCTCACAAAAAGCTTTGTAAATAGATGCCATAAGTAGGTATGTCTATCTTGATAGACTCCAATACAGGAACATTTTACTTTTCCTGCTAACATTTCCTTAACTTCAACTGCAAAACCTGGGCTAAATTCTGTCCAAGTATGACAGCTCTTGTCTGAATGAATAAGGATCTACACAAAACAATCTGGAATTCTTTCAGCTTCAAAGAGAGCAAAGAGTATTAGGCATACTTAAGTGTATTAAGCTTAATAAAAACCTATCTAATCCTATGTTCTGAGCACAAAAGCTCAGTAATTCAGATGGCTTCCCATTATGGCTCTGCATGAAAAAAATGCATGTCCATCCCAGCTGGGATCCAGACATGGTAGAATGTTAAATGAATTAGTACTTTCAGCTGCATCAGAAGAGAATAAGTCCTTACAAACATATTGCCTAAAAGCAAGCTAAGTCAATTTTAGAAACAAATGTGGTAATAACTTAATCCTAAATCCAGATTCAAAATTATTTGACCTCCTCCACGCTTTACTTTAAAAGCAAAAACACACACATGAAATAGGAAGACAAGATTTATAGACCATGCTAAATGTAACCTTTATCTGTGCAATTCCTGGAGATCCAGGGAACTACGGAGATCGGGCCATTAGTGTCAGACAGCAATTCATGAGTGGCATCAACATTGGAGCCTATAATTATAACCATTTCCCAACCAAAAAAAATCTATTGAAAATTGTAAATCACAGCACAAAGGCAAGTAGACAACAAATGCAAAAAAATCTTGTTCCAGGCTTTTGAACTGCAAAACTCTTCGAGTTTCAACTCCTTATAGACCAACTCCTTAAGATCAATACAAAGAAATTTCTGCAACCTACCAAGTCAGACCTCTTGACAGAAAATTTGTACTTATTTGTTATTCATTTTCCATCCACAAAAATCAGAGCAACAAAATAGTAACAGTGTGATTTTAGAAGTCAACATCAATAGTCTGGTGAATATTGCAGTGTTTGTCTCTAATATTGCCAAACAGCTTTTTATAAATCTGACTATCAGTTTCCAAAATGGGTAAAAACTTATGAAAGATTTTACCAGTTTAATCACTAGTTATTGAAAAGGCCATTTCCTGTACTTCTTACAAATCATAAGCAATACTTTAGTCTATATGATTTAATACTTTCCAGTTGACTTTTAAGCTTATTTTAACTGCTTAAAGTTCATCCATTTCTTCTGTTTGCTCACTTTTCCCCTCTGACTCTATTTAAAAAGTGATGTAAATTAATCATCAAAATATATTCAACCTAATAGATAAGTAACGAGAAGTTCCAGACTTTGGGAGCTTGGTGTGGAGTAAGTAATTCTTATGACTTTAGGGACTGAATAAGGGTGGGTGAATCATTAAGGACAACAACTGGAAAGAACAAACCAAAACACCCACATCAGATACAACTCCATTCACACTGCTGAACAGCTTCATTCACCAATCTTGGGAGCAATTTCTTATTCTAGAGTAATAACAAGAAATATTGGCATTGCAGAGTTATAAAAAAAAATATTTTGGAGCGTGTACCTGAAAAATTATTCATGGCATTCTTACTGCCGTTGGTCTCTGCCACGGCCCTCCGGAACTGCTCCAGGATGGCGTTGAGCTCGGAGGAGCGCTGCAGCGTGCGGTGCTCGGCGATGCGCAGGCGCTCCTTCAGCGCGTGGAACTCCCGCTGGTAGGCAATCAGCTTTTCTGGGGAGAAAACCACGATCCAGGTTATGTGTGGGAACCAACACCTGCTGACAGATCTGACCAGCAGCTAACACTGCTCATCTTGGAGCACCTGGAATGCTCCCAGGAAGGCAGAGCCCAGCATGGCCCCACCTGAGGAGCTGGGTGCCAGCACCCAACGTGAGCGGTGGATGGGTACACTGATGCCTATTATCTGTTTCCAACAAGCACCTCCTGTGGAAGAGCCAGTTGGATTAACATTCAGGCAATGCAGTCAGACTCACACACCACAGTTGGCTCAGTGAGAGAGGCAAGAAGGGTCTTTCTGCAGGAGTTAATTCCAGTGAGATTTATTGTGTGGAAGCCAAAGGGAATGCAGGTGAAAAACGAGGGCTACCATGGGCTCTGGACAGCTTCAGAATGGGAAGGGATGGGGGCAGAGATAAGGGTGGGGCAAAGGAGATTGGTCTCCAGGGGTAGCAGCCACCAGGGGTACCCAACCAGTGAGAAAACAGGGAAGGGAGAAACCAGGGTAGGTTGTAAAATATGGGCAAGGTCCATGAGGGAGTCTCATCTATCCCACAGGAGGAATGAACTCTATGGTCAGTCTTTCCAAGGCAAAGCCTTTGGGAATTGGCTGAGGGGAGGGAATTCATGGGATGCTACAATAGGCAATCAGCTTTTCTGGGGAGAAAACCATGATCCAGGTTATTTGTGGGAACAAACACCTGCTGACAGATCTGACCAGCAGCTAACACTGCTCAGCTTGGAGCCCCTGGAATGCTCCAAGGAAGGCAGAGCCCGGCATGGCCCCACCTAAGGAGCTCAGTGCCAGCACCCACACACCACGGCAAGGGGACAGCTGCACACACCAGGATGGGGACAGGCATTGAGGGGAAATGCCCCTCACCTCAGCCACAGACCAGGGACACCCTGAGCACCCAGCACTCAGCACAAGGCCGTTCTGAACCATTTCTTGGAACAGATGCCCACAAACCATTTCTTTTAAGAAGCCACACAGCAGTGGCCCCTTACAAAAGCACAGGTTACATCTTGTGAAAGACCCCTCTGAATGCTTCATTAAGGATAAGTGGAACTTGACAGTATTTCAGACATATCAATTTCAAACCCAAGTTTTAACTTAATATTATGGTCAGAGCCTGAGATCTGAAGATCATTTTTTACCAAAATTCTGTTCATGTTGATACATATACATACTCTTGAAAGGGGACCAAAAGGGAGATGGAAACACCAAAACTGATATATTCCCTTTTCCCTTGACACCCAGTAAAGTAAGTGGGCCTAGATTTTGTATCCTTCCTTCTTCCCATTGTTAATTTCCTCAAATCTTCCGCTCACCATCATCACTATCATCCCCCTGCAACCAACATACAGACACTGACTAGAGTATTTTGAGTGAATTTGTAACTCAATCAATATTCCAGCCATTCAGCTGACATCCACAGACATATCTCTCTTGTTACTTACCTATCCATTCCCAACCTTTTCATATTGCAATGGCAGGGAAGTAGAAGTTTAGCAAGCAATTTGAAACCCTTCCTGTTGCTATATTACATAAGACACAGGGCAAGAAGGAATTAGAGTCAACTTCCCTTGTTAATAAGGCTGCTTTTCCTCCAAATTCTTTCAATTTACATTTATTTTCCTCTTTTTTTTTTTTTTTTTGGTAGTTGGGATGTACTGCGCCAATTATATTTAGAAAACTTAATTAAGTAAAATGCCCTGTGTTCTGAAGATGGAAAAATAAAAACATGGTTCACTATCTCTTAAAACATCTCCTTTGCCAGCTTTATTTTGCTTCTTTCATTAAAATCAGAAGATCATTGCTTTTGTGCCAACAAACCCAGAACACAGCTGCTGGCCCACTCCACAGTGCTAGGCACACTGTACACTGCTGACTGGATCAGGCTGCTCTTTGAAATAGGAATTGATGCTTTAGTCAGCAGCACTTAGAAGACTGGGAAAATTTTTTGAAGTTTCTGGCATGAAGGCCATTCTTATTTGCCAATGATAACTAACAAAGTAGTTCAGTTCTGATGCTTCCAGTGAACTGTACTGGTATTGCATCCATGGTACTGGAGACCTCAAAAGCATTAATTCCTTTGAGAAATACTAGACATGTATTTGTTGCTTCAACCAGACATATCTAGGTTAAGGAGACTGCTCTAAAAGATACATAAACTCTGGGAATCTATCCTTCACAAATATACAGCAATTTTTTTCAATTAGGCACAATATTATTCAGTGAAATGTAACTAAAAATCCTAAGATTACAAATACAATAAAATTTTTAAGTCTACTACCCTATGAATATTTTTCTAGTTATTTATGTAAAATGAAAGTAAAAAATAATTCTTTATTTATGTGAACTTACATGACCTAAAACATTTACATCTCTAACACTAGTAGAGCCCTTTTCATGTTTTTGGAGAATAATGTGTAATTTGGCATTTTGGTACTTGTTTTATAATATGGCTGCCTGTACTTTTAAACTAAACAAATTAAATTTAAATGACCAACACCCATATCTTTAGCATACTTGCAGCCCTTCAAAGATCAACTGCTCAGATACTTGTTACTTACAAACAAAAAACCACAACAAATTTGATCTCATACTGAAAGGCACTTGCAAAGGAGAAAATACTTCTTAGACTTTTACAGTACCACCATCAGCACTGACCACATGTACCAGGCTTTAGAAAAGCATCCCTTAAGCCATCAGCATTTTATAAATATTCTAATTTGACTTTTTAGAGTTCCTGACTAAGTATGTGAGAATGAGCCTACAAGATTAAATTTAAGAATCTATTTTTATTTTAATTTCGACTGAGGTCAAGTTTGGTAAAGTCCTATTCAACTAATTTGGTCTCATTCTGAGATAAAATCACTCTCCTCAGGGATGAAGGCAAGATGAGGGAAAGGCAGTGGTTGGTGCAGTCTCACCTGGAATGCTGTGTGCAGTTCTGGGCCCCACAGTTTAAAAAGGATGTGGAGCTCTCTGAATGCATCCAGAGGAGGGGAACACAGCAGGAAGGTCTGTCCTGGGGGAATGGCTGGGGCCTTTGGGTCAGTCTAGTTTGGAGAAAAGGAGGTTGGAGGGGGGACCTCATTGCTCTGTGCAGATTCCTGAGGGGAGGAATTGGAGAGGGATGGTTGAGCTCTTCTCCCTGGTGTTTAGTGACAGGACACATGGGAATGGCCCTAAGCTATGCCAAGGGATGTTCAGATCGGACATCAGAAAGCATTTCTGTTCTGAGACATTGGTAAAACACTGGAACAGGTTTCCTGGAGTGCATAAAGTATTTAGGAGGTATCTGGACAATGCACTTAATAACATGCTTTGGCTTTTGGTAAGTCCTGAAGTGGTCAGGCAGTTGGACTAAATGATTGTTGGTAGGTCCCTTCCAACTGAGATTCCCATTCTATGACAAGCTGACTTGTAGGCATTGCATATACAAAACAGTCAATAATGCACCTGATATTTTCAAAATACATTTGACCATTTAGTGTTTTACTGTTGAGAGATTTCTCCAAAACCAAAAGAAATTGAATTGATTTCTTGTCCAGAAGTATGAAAACACTTTTTTTGATTGCTATTACAGTAAAAAGGAGAGTAGTGAGCCCAAAACCACAGAGAAAACAGAGTGATCACCACCAGTAAAAAAAGATTCTTTTTCTACAGGATTATGGATTCTGTTCTTATTTTCATACTAGAGTTATTCAAGAGGACAGAAGAAGGAATTCAGACAGTAAGTTATTGGCCTTACAACACTGATGGAAGAACCCCAAACATATCTGTCTGTTCTCTGACAAACAAAACATCCCTCTAACAGCAGCTGTAGCCAATATTGAAGACATCTGGTCTCCAATAATTTCAGCATACAAGCATATTTTTATTTAAGAATAATGTACTATTTTACATTAAAATGAGAAGATTTTCCACACTTTTCTCTGGAAGCCACAAAGATCAAATAAAATAAATATCTTGTTAAGAAATTACTCCAGAAATGAAAGCATTAATTCTTCATAATTTTTCTCTTAAATTCTAGTTGGTCCAGCAAAACTCCAGAAGCTAAAGACTAAATATTTTAGCTGGCCAGATGCTGTGCAGTTCTCCCAGCACTGTGCCAACTGAATCAGTACTTTGTCAACTTTTTTCCTTTGTTGCAATACATTCCCTTAAATATGCAGAACTTAGAATTTAGACAAGCTCACTTGAAAGTTGATGCAGTCCTTTGAAAAGTGAAAATTCAAATGAAACTCGGGTGGTTTGCTGGTTTTCAATCAGGGATGAAATCTCAGCTCTCAGCCTCCTCTGGGTTATTTACAACTCTTCTACTACATAACTGTAAAAAAAAAAATTCCAAAAAGACACCACTAACCCAAAATTACAAACTCAGTCCACTCTCCTCTTAGCCATAGACAATACTGACTACACAGATTGCTAAAGAGTTGTCTAAATTTGAAGAAAAATTCAAAGTTTTAAAACATGGAGTTTCTAACATCTTTGCATGAATATAATTTCTTAGTTTGGGCTTTTGTACTTCTTGAAAAATCTGTTAATGTACTTTCACCCCTGCTTTTCATAAGAGCAAAGAGTTTTCCCTTGACTTAAAAAGGGACATCCAAGTAAAGGAATAAGAAAATAGGCTGTAGTTTGAATTTAGAAAAGCATTTTGCAGAGTATTTCAGCTCAACTGAAATAGCTTAAATCTGAATTCCAGGTAAATTACCAACACTGTCAGAACACCTGCTGAATTGTAATTCCAAATGAAATATCTACTGAACAACAAAACAGAAAACATACTGTGGAAACTCAATCAAAGCAATTTCAAGGCTACAGAGTCTCAAAGTCAATAAAAATCATCAACAGCTTAGTTTTTGGTTCATGTTACTTTTTTAGCTAAGTTAGATTTTTTTAATGCCCCAAGCCTGTCAGTATTTAAGAGGCCTTTGGACAATGACATTAACAACCTGCTTTAGCATCTGGTCAGCCTTGA